TTTTTTACACAAAAATTACATGTTAAGATAAAATTTGGAGGTGCCCCGTAATTGGATTTTTTAAGGTTGCAACTTTATAGAAACCACACCCATTATACAATGTTAAGTTTCATTTATAGATTTTTGGGTGCTTTATATTTTTGTCATGTTTGGACTTGACGAAAAATGCCCCAAATAGGAACCCCAGGACCATATTTAATATTTGACCTCGGATCTGCTTGATATCAAAACCATTTCTTGCTAAGTGTCACAAAATTTATTGCCTTCTCTCCTCATGTGGTAGAAGGGGACTATGAGGTTGATATCAATCAACAAAATACTGTCCGAAATCCTTTCTAATCTCGACAGGTATTCTTTTGTCCATGAAATCATATTCTGTGAATCCTCTTCTATTTCTAAACTCGTCCAATCTGATTTTAAGTTTCTGAGACCAATGAGTAAGGCCCAGGCTTCTGCCTCATTCAAATCACGTTTTTTTTAAAGGATTTAACTTTGGAGTTTCTTGGCTAGGTGGAGTCCAATTAGAAATGCACCTTTGCTCATTGCCTGTGCCCTTGCAATTGTTTGCCATCGGTTTCGAAATTCATAACTGACAGTCCCCAAAATTCACTCCTCACTTTGGCCAATGAGATGACCATGCCCTGCTTTGCCTTTCAGCCGTGTCATATACCATATTGAATGATTGCAGTTTTATATGCGCACCCTTCTAGATGGTGCCGTACTAGATGACTGTAGTTTTATATGCATATTTTTTTGCATAACATGTAACATGCATATTCAATGTTTCTGAATTTTACAGATTTTATTGATTCATTTTCATTTTCACTTTCAGATGGCAGAGCGTTTTAATAAAAAGGCCCAGCTACCAGGATGTGTTCCTCTTGGAAGCTTTAACTCTGTATTCAGTTTAACAGGGTCAAGGAAAACTGATGCTGCAGCCACGAAGAGCCTTGCCATGGATGGGTATATTGTTCCTCTCTTCAAGGTTAGGTTGACGAAATTCCCCTTGATATTGCAGGAAGATGTTAAACGTGCTGTCCCATCCTCATGGGATCCTTCAGCCTTAGCATGGTATCTCTCTTTCTTTAAGCCCTCTCTTTCTGTCTGTTGCGCGTACATGCATATATGCATGCTTACAGTGAGATTCATCCCCCTCTCTGGCTCTAGATTTATGTATGTGTATGCCCGTGCATGCACATAGAGTCTCTTCTAAATTCAGATAATTATTGTGTTTTGCCAGCTTTATTGAGAATTTCGGGACACATGTTGTTACATCTGTCACGATTGGGGGTAAAGACGTCATTTATGTGAAACAACACATCTCATCTCATTTGTCAACAACAGAGATTAAAAATTATGTTCAGGATGTTGGAGATCAGAGGTTCTCTGTTGCAAGAATCCGGAGGACTCCAGGTCCTATGAAATTTAACGACAAGGCTAGTGCTTCATTTTGTTTTAGCTTTGGAAAATGTTTTGCTTTTTTGTGCTTTATATTGTCAAATATTTTGTAGATATTATTGATTACCGGTTTTCTGATGTGCCCATCTCTCTGAATATGCAGGCAGTGGATTCATTTCCTTTCAACAGCCAAGGGATTCATCCTCAACCCTCAACTACTCCTTATTTAATCGGGAAAGAAGTAGGTGCTTAATTACACATTTCTTTATTAAACTGTCACATAAATTTCAAATTCCTATTCTGGATACTAATTTGGAGTACATCGTAATTTTATGTATAAGAGCTTAAACTGGTTAGATCATCTTCTTTTGTTCATTCTTTGTCTCTTTAAATTTTTTCGTGTTTTGTAATGAGTAATAAAGGTACAAAAGCATGGCAAACCAAAAAACTAAGGTGGCATGGATTCCCAAGGCCCAAACCGCTCTCTATTAACCCCATGTTTACTAAATTAATTGCTACTTAATTTGCTTCACTCTTTAAATGAATTACATTTTTATACTCTAAAATGTGAAGTACATTAAAATTCTTTGTAAAACTGTAATTGGGTTACCTAGGGATTAACTGGTCTTTTGTCTCAAATCCCAGTCCCACCAACTTCTTTTGGCATGCATACTTTTTTCCATTAGTCATATGGACTTTCTGCTCATGACCCTCACCCGCCAAAGAAATCCCATATGAAATTCTAAATTTCTTATGGGGATTTTGATGGGCAAATGTAAGAGAAATAATTGTCATATGTGCATCTTGTAAGACAATTGAATTTATTGCTTTAGTTCGATAACAAAATAACAAAACGAGAGTAGTAATTGACATTGACCACCATGAAATGATTATTATATATAGGAAAACTCTTCCCAACGCCTATAGGCGAAAATGAACAGTGATTTTGTCTACCCTCATCACCATCCAAACTTCATCGCACGGTCACTGTTGTCCGGTAGTGTTTCAATTTTCATTTTTTTTCTACAAATCCAAATTACTTGAAATTTGGAGCGTGTGTACATCTTAGTGAGGTGCACCCAACAAAAATATGAAAAGCAAATAATTCGTAAAATATAAATAGACCAAAATACCCCGTTCAATTTTGGACTTGCTATGTCCGTGGCGAAATGCTAGAGTGTTTTACTACCATCATGGACTTGCTATGTCCGTGGCGAAATGCTAGAGTGTTTTACTACCATCATGGACTTGCTATGTCCGTGGTGGTTCATTGAACAGACCAGGTTCCACATGGTTTTTGATCTTCATGGACCTAGTATGTCTGTGACAGTACTACCATCGACATGCTAGGTCCGTGGCGGTCAAAAAACGCATGGCACCTGATTTTCAGATGGTGATGAACTTATGGGCGGAAACACTGTTCATTTTTTGCCCATAGGCGTTGCATAGATGCCTCCATATATATATATATATATATATATATTTTTTTTTTTCGTATTTGAATTTTTATTTCTTTTATATAAATCGAAATCACTTGAAATTTTGAGCATCTATTTTTCAAAAATAGGAGAATCAAATAAAAATATAAAAAAATAATTTGAAAAATATAAATTGACCAAGGTGCACCTTGATGAGTACAATGTACGTCTAAATTTTCAAGTGATTTGGATTTATAGAAAAAAATAAAAATTCAATTACGAAATAAGGTCGTGACCGTCAGATCAGCCTAGATTCAATCTGAGCCTTTGGCTGACACTGTAGCTGTCAACCCATGGGCTGACCGAATCCATTCCCATATATATATATATATGAGTAATGATTCTCTGAAACCCTCCCACACCCATGTGATAACTTTTTTAGAGATCTGTGCCAAATTTAATGGTGATCATTTGGGGTCTTTGTATAGAGAGCCTAGGCTCTAAACAATCAAATTAGAGCCTACCTTCAAATAGTGTCAAGAAATTGATGCTGCAAATATTTGTGATAGTCTTAAAATATATTTTTATCTTTATTTATAAAGTTTAAGGCTTAAAAAATAGTGTAGATCGGCAAATCAATGAAAATTTGAAAATCTTGAAATTTGACAGTTGAGGATATTTGGGCATCAAAACAACCTCTCCTAGTGAAATTTTTTAGGTAGGCTCTAATTTGATTGTTTAGAGTCTCGGCTCTATATATACTTTTCTTATATATATATATATATATATAAGAAGATACTACAAAACGACCTATAGGCAAGAAAAGTAGTACGTACTCTACTACTCTACTACCTACGTACTACGTACGTACGTACGTACGTACGTACGTACGT